ACCCACAACGAACCCAGGTCACAGGAGGACCAACTCGATCATTTTGTTCAACGTCGATGTATCGACAGACTCATTGTTGGTCGAGAGGGAACGGTTTGACAGCCGAATGTGGACCGACTACTGTCAGATGCTGGGACTCCCTCCCCTCCCTGCAACTTTATGTCGCCTTTCTCGAGGAAGCCATGCACCCCGAGATAAGCCACCCCCTCTACGTGTGTCCCTAAATACTACCAAAGAGGCTGAAGACACACTCCTCCTCTCGCGACAACCGGACGTTGTTAATGCCTGTAAAATTCGGGCCAGGCCTGACAAGCCATGGTCAATAAGAGAGGAGGAGAGAAAGTCAGCGGTTGGAAATCCCAACAGAAACAACACTATAGTTGTACATGGGATTCCAGAATTGCCAAGTGACCGCTCGGTCAAAGATCGGTACTTTCATGACGTCAAACAATGGCAATGGCTCTCAACCAAAGTTGGTCTCAACAGCATACCGGCCAACAGCGTCAGTAGACTGCCAAGGCCAGCGCACCTGAAGACCATACCCAATCCCAGACTACTCGCCGTCCAGTTCGACTCACATGCCTCCCTCACAGACGTTCTACAGGCATGGTATAATGCGAAGGATCGCATGGGTGGCTCAATACGTATATGTGAAAGTAAGCCTAGACCCACAAAAAAAAAAAAAAAAAAAAAAAAAAAAAAAAAAAAAAAAAAAAAAAAAAAAAAAAAAAAAAAAAAAAAAAAAAAAAAAAAAAAAAAAAAAAAAAAAAAAAAAAAAAAAAAAAAAAAAAAAAAAAAAAAAAAAAAAAAAAAAAAAAAAAAAAAAAAAAAAAAAAAAAAAAAAAAAAAAAAAAAAAAAAAAAAAAAAAAAAAAAAAAAAAAAAAAAAAAAAAAAAAAAAAAAAAAAAAAAAAAAAAAAAAAAAAAAAAAAAAAAAAAAAAAAAAAAAAAAAAAAAAAAAAAAAAAAAAAAAAAAAAAAAAAAAAAAAAAAAAAAAAAAAAAAAAAAAAAAAAAAAAAAAAAAAAAAAAAAAAAATCTCCGACGAAGAGATGCATGTTACTGGCATGGAACTCTTCCGCAGGGACAGGGAACATAGAGCAGGAGGAGGAGTGGCTATCTACGTAAACTCTTGTTTAAAGGCAAGGATGGTTAGCGATACGGCCTTAACCCAGCTCCCAGAGTCCCTATGGTGCTACTTCACTCTCCACAGTACCAAATATTTGCTCGGAGTCATATATCGGTCCCCCACCTGCTCCCCTACACATAAGGAAATGATCATCAAGGCTATCTTAACGACTTCCTCTGCAAATTACGATTCCGTAGTCATTGCCGGCGACTTCAACACCCCGTCCATCCTCTTCGAGACGGAAGGGAGACGCATCAGATCCTTCAATCAGAAGCTGAAGGATGCAATTAAGACTGCTGGCCTCTCAGAGAAAGTGGGTGATGCTACACGCTGGGGACCTAACGGAAACGCATCGCGCCTTGACTACGTTCTGACGAACGATGAACTTCTCATTGAGGATGTTTGCATCCAACCTCCCCTTGGCCTCAGTGACCACGCTGTAATCACCTTCTCCATGATAACTAGGGAGGCTCTGCAACTGGAGACGCCCAACACCTTCCCTTGCTACAGCAAGGCCAACTATGAGACCATGAGGGACTACCTCATGAATGCATCATGGCCAGTGGACTGGACTCATCTCACAATAGATGAACACTGGTTGGAGGTGAAGAAAATAATCACTGGGGCCATCAGTCACAGTGTACCAGAAGTAACACACAGACAATCAATGAGAACCTCATGGTTAAAGCGTGGGACAGAGAGGCTTATCCGGAGCAAGAAACAGGCTTGGTTCAAGTGGCTTACATCACGCAGGGAGTCTGACTTCTTGAACTATAAAAGGATTCGCAATCTCTGTAACATTAGAGTGCGTAACGACAGATTTTCCTACCAAACAAACTTGGCAGCGAGGTTACAAAGCAACCCCAAAAACCTGTACCGCTTCATGTCAAGAAGAAAGTCGACCAGTAAGGGAGTGAATCTTGTCACAGGCCATGACGGGAGTGTGCTAAGCAGTCTAGAGATTGCCGAGCTTTTGAGCTCACACTTCCAAGCCCAACTCAGCACTGACACAAGATCCACACCGACTCGCCACGACACCGACCAGGTCGCAAATAACGAATACCTCTGTCACGTCTCTATTACAGAGAAAAAGGTGTTCGAGAAGCTATCTAGGCTACGTCCGGGCAAGTCCCCTGGCTGCGATAATCTGAAACCAGTGGTTCTGAAAAACTGCGCCGAGGTGCTTACCAAACCACTTCGCAACCTCTTTGAGCACTCAATAGACTCGTGCAAACTCCCTAAAGAATGGAAGAGTGCCATCTTGTCACCCATCTTCAAGGGAGGAGACAGAAAAAACCCTGGCAGCTACAGGCCGATTGCCCTACTCCCTATTGTGTCGAAAGTGTTGGAAAGCCTGGTAGCTGACACCATCTGGGAATTCCTCAATAGAGAAAACACTGTCCACACTGCTCAGCACGGCTTTCGTAGTGGTCGCTCATGTGCCACCAACTTACTAACTGCCTGGGACGACTGGACACAAAGCTGGGATAATAGAAAACCTGTACATGCTGTATTTCTCGACCTAGCCAAAGCATTTGACAGTGTCCCACCCACAGTACTGCTTCACAAGATCATGTCAGCTGGTATAAGTGGACCCCTACTCTCTTGGTTCAAGGAGTACCTGGAAGGGAGGCAGTTCTGCACTAAAGTGAACAGAATAAGGTCGGAGTGGAGACCGTCGACGTCAGGAGTATCCCAAGGAGCAATCCTAGGACCGCTTCTGTTCCTCCTCTTTGTCAACGATCTGCCAGACAAAATATCCTCACCCATCCTCCTCTTCGCTGACGACATAAAAATTTGGAGGGTGGTAAACGAAGAAGCCGACTGTGCAGCACTACAAAAGGACTTGCAGCAACTCGAGCTCTGGTCGTCGGAAAATGGTCTGAGCTTCAACTGGAAAAGTGCAAAGTAATGCACATCAGTAAAAATGAGGCAAGTACGACCGACTTCCAGTACATGTTGAGCAACCGTGCTATCACCAGAGTGTCCATGGAGAAAGATTTGGGGCTCAACTTCTCCGACACCTTGGACACCAGCTCCAACTACAAAGGTATGACAACCAGAGCGAACGCCATTCTACACTTTCTGCGTAGACAGCTTGGCGCCCTCACTCCCGAACTCTTCCTTACCATTTTCAAATCCTACGTGCGGCCGCACCTAGAGGTCTTCAATACGGTGGCTCCTCCAACACTCAAGAGAGACTCTAATCTCCTTGAAAGAATACAAAGAACTGCAACAAAATCAGTTGTGGGGCTAAGGGGAAAGACGTATCCTGAAAGACTTAAACACCTCAACCTATTTACCTTGGGTTATCGCAGGAAAAGGGGTGACCTCATTATGGCATACAAGATCGCCCATCAGGCAGACCATGCAAACAAATCAATTTTGCCTGCAACTGAACGATCTTCACGAGGAAACCCCTTTAAGATAGCACACCAGAGAGCCAACACCACACTCAGGTCCAAATTTTTCTCCCTGAGAGTATGTGCTTTATGGAATGCCTTACCGCGACACATCGTTATAGCTCCTTCAATCGACTCTTTCAAGAGGCGATTAGACAGTTATGTCACCTCGCATGGACTACCACGGACGTACTCAGGTAGTCACCAACCTCAGTACCCCCAACTCCCTCCTAACTACCACTCACTATCTCTCTCCTTAATACACCCACATTACCTACTAATTCTTCTGTAGGAACCAAACCCACGCGACCATTCGGGCAATTCCCAAATACTTTTCTTTCGTTCTCATTTCTCTCTTCACCCCTTCTTTTATTCTCCTTCCCTTTCCTCTTCCCTACATTATTATTACTATTATTTTTATTTTTAATTTTATTTATTTATTTATTTTTTTTTTTTTTTTATTTTTTTTTTTATTTTATTTTATTTATTTATTTATTTATTTTTTTACTCTTCCTTACTTCTCTCTTCATTCCTTTACCACTACCTTAATATTCTCTTTCAGGTACCTACACAGACAGGAGTCACGGTTGTTCTCTAAACTTCCCAGCAGCCCGTAGCTCCCTAATCACTCTACAAATTACAACCTACTAACCCACAAAACATCCACCTCACCGAAGCTAAAAGCAAGAAAGCAGAGGGGATTTCCTCGTCCACTGCAGGAGTGAACCGAACAACTGGAACCAAGCCCTAAGAACTAGACGCGAGAGATCAAAAACTACTAGTTTTCTACGCTCGCACTATCAATATTGGATATTGGATATTGGAACTTGTTATATACCCACGAATACGAGACCAAGGAAGAACACGATAGCGTAGTCGGATGGAATAGTATATTTGGATGGTTATGCCAAAATACCGATGAGTTCCAACTAACTGGCTAGAGAGTCGAATAAGAGCAGTGCAACGTAACACGACAGCGTGCCAAATGGCGAGGATGCTTGACCGGGTACCTTCAGCTTAGCGAGTCCAGTGAAACTATCAAGGTCAGCATCAATGTCGAAAGTCGTCAAATCCTAGGCTACTGATTTTGGGGAAGTGTGTGACGCTACACCTTCAAATAGATAGATACTGCCTCCAAAGCTGTAAACAGGAAGACGCAGAGACTTCTGCGACTATCGAAGCAGTACGACCGAATAAAAAGAACCGAGCCTCAAGACATAAAAGTGAGAGCTCAAAAACTACAAGTTTCCTTTACTCGCACTATTGAAGTTAGACGCACCAATCGGGTTTGAATGAGATGACCTTTAAGTGCATCACCACCATCATGAGAGGTCACGAACAATCCTAGAATAATGGGTTTATCCGTCCATCATTTCTACGGTCTACCACCTTCCTAGTAGTCTTATACAACTGAGTTGAAAGCTGTCATTGCAATTTAAGAACATGGTTTGCAATACGTGTACTGAGTGAAAATGCCACCTTGTCCAAATGTTATTAGTTTACCACCTTACCTTCTTGAGAAAGCATTTTCCTATTTAACGTATGAAGAAGTATCAAAACTTCGAGAGGTAGGTTTTGATATGTCTTATAATGTTTTTAGACCTGCAAATATTTTGATGTCGTCTGTCGTGGCGTTCTTAACAAAGGGTTTCGGGCTATCGAACGCAAAGTTGTTTGCTTTCATTCAAAGCTCCGGTCATTACTCCCTAGACGTGAATCTGAGCGTCGAACTCATCCTCTCAATAGGTTTGAAAGGTTCAATTTCTTATTCTTACAGACACTGCGAAGCGCTTTCAGCTGTGGAGACGCGCTTATCTCTTCTGAAAATGAGTATCATGCGATATGCAGATAAAAACCGGTGTTGTTTTTTTCCTGGGAAGGTACTTGATGAAATAGAGAGCGTTTGCCGGTTCATACGATCAAATCAAGGTGTCTCCATACGACCTTATGATATTTTGCATGAACTTCGGGATATTTCATCAATGGCAATGGAGCATTTTGAGGAAAAGATCCTCCCATCATTACACATAAAGTCAGATTGTGGTAGGTTCTCTGTAAACAGCATTTGGTGATCGTTGTTCTGTTCCTCGTTTTTAATGTGAGATATTTAAATTACCATCTGTGGTTACTTCGTTGTGCATTCATAGGTATTCTTGAGAGAAACAACTGAACGACTTTCTGAAATGTTGCTGAAGTTTGTGAGATTGTTTTGAGATACGCAGGACGGAAGTAGTGTTTAGAATAGACATAGTTCAGTGTGCATCTCCCTCTGCCCAATGAAGTTACATTTGCGGACTCAGTCTGTTCCATCTTGTTGTGTGTATTGAAGTACGTAGACTATATTGTCGTGTAGGGTGAAGACACTGACAATACAGGGACCTCTGAATGTTTATTTTTGGCCTGCGTTTCAAGCATCAGTTCTTGGTTCAAGACCAGTCTGAAACTATTTCTCCTTTAGGGATAAGGAGTAATGAAATGCATCTACCACTTCACTCACATTTTTAGTATCATCCAGGATGTCCTGATTGCTGACAAAATTTCAGCTGGGATACCGATATCCTGTTAAGCATTTGCTTAAGTAAATCGCTTTTGGGACCGGCGAAATATCCCAACAGCTGTTGAAAGACGAGTGTACTGCGCTACAGTTCGTTTTGTCCCGTTATATGGCTGTGTGAAATGGTCGTTAAAGTAGGAGACGTGTAGCAATTACACAGTTTTGACCACAGTTGTCTTCGTAGCATCGCTTGCGTTTGGTAGAATCACCGCGTGAGCAATGCTGAAGTCAGGCAAAGGGTAGTAGGCAGGACACCAGCCAATGGATAGGGTTATGAACCTTCATCGTCTGGACTGAGAATGTGCTGCACATACTGATTTACCATCCTCCCCTACTTGTAATTCTAAGAAAAGCTGGATTACTTTAAAAGAAGACCAGGGTGGCCAAACCAAGACCTGTCACCAGTACATGAAGTCTCTCACTGTTGGTCTGAGCTGTGTAATGAAGTGTAAACTGTCCAGCTGGCGTGCTCGAGACCCTCGGAATCAATGGTTGGAGACATTTGGTGACATGGTTGTAAAACGGTGACGATGGCGCAGTTGTGTTCACCTTTTGATTTCGTCCAATGCTTCAATATTTTCAAATTGTTTCTCCTCTTACAAATCTTCTTCTACTTTGATATCAGTCTTTTCTATCCACTTGTTGTTTGTGTGCTACTGTGAAGTGTGATAACTTGAGCCGACGCACCTGTGTTACGTTTTACGTTGATTTCATCTGTCTCTCTGTGTAGTCAAGAGTATAGCTGACCGAGCTTTTTTAGTTCCTTGTACTAATAGGTTCTACCAATCTGATTTAGCCAGGTTTCAAAGATAGGAGCTGGATTCATAAATCACGGGGTATACATTATATTGCCTTCAAAATCAAATCATTTTTTAATATCTACCTCTGCGTACTCTAACTCCATCAAATTTACAGCAGCCACATGACATCTAAGTTAACTTTAATTAAATGAAGAGATTTCATGAAAAAGCAAAACAGTTGGACGAAGTAGTTATATCTAATAATTTAAATGTAAACCGATGCAAAATACCAAGTCAGAAAGGTTATGAGCGCCCAATAGATACTGTCAATAAAGCGAGATCATGTATGTGTGAAAAGTCCAAGACTTGAAATTAAGAGGTTCGTCTTACTAGTTTAGAAACGTATGCACAGTGAAATTCCCTTGTAGTTGACCTACTAGATGAATCACAGCGAAACGGTATTGTAAACTGAATTACGTTTCGCACGCGATTTCTTATCCACTCATCAAGGTGGTATAGACGAAAACATGGTGGGAGTTTGGACACTAGTGTCTACAGGAAACTTACATATTTAAGTCGTTACTGAGGCTTCATATAATTTCATCCTGTCAGTTTATGTAGGCTTAGTAAGACATCCGAGTAACGACAGAAAATATAACTGGGAAGACATCCGAGATAAAAATCAGACAAGTTAAGTAAAACTTACTCTCAATAATTGCCTATCTATTATATCAGTAAATTCATAGTAGTGGCCACATAGTCACAAGAATATCACACCTTAGAAACATCGCTTCGTATACTCACCAAGACTACAAACTCAATTAAGGTAAAATATCCAATTGGTCCAATTTGGCAAAATAATTTAGATAGCCAAATTCCTTGCAATGATTTCAAGGCCGAAATAGTCAGCCAGTATCAGTTAGGTTGTCCGAGTACAAAAGCTATATTAAGTAAAGATTGGTGGACCCTGGTACCATAAGGAATTTTAAGGGTCATAGCTATGCATGCAGTTACACATAACGAAATGGGACGGACTGACAGTCCTTAAAACTGACCTCGCTGGGTAGGGGGAGGTACTGATAGTCGAATCTTCATTTGTCAAGTCAGCACTGAAGACATACAATAAAAATAGCCCGTCAGCTGTACCAAATACGTGGAAAGTACTGACCGCGTCTCCGGGCGATAGTTGGTGCCTTGACGTGGTGATCGGGCTTTGATATCAGAATAACCTAGCCAGCTATGCTGGTTGGGTCACTTCACCTGAAGTCATACCGTACCAGAAAGACCTGGTAAATAGTGGTGAAATCAAAAACAGTGTAAATTACTGGACTGTAGGAGGGTTCGAACCGTTGAGATGTGCTGCCTGCACAGTGTGACAACAGTAGGGCGTTTTCCTCAAATGGTCAGCAGTACTATGTTGGTGCTGCCTTGCCTATGGGAAGGGGGAAATGGAAATCAATCGAAGTCAAACCTCAAGGTTTCAAACAGGCCGTTTATGACTGACCTGAATTAGATATCCATTGCGCTCTGCGGTCATGCACCACTATTACTAGAAATTTCTTTCAGGTACCTCAAGAAAAATACCATTCCGTAGAATGGAAAGCTAAGAGGTGTCAACTGCCGTCACAACTCTGCCAATTCCCTTCGATCATAATCAACTTTCCACATTTTTTCTGACATCTCGGTCAATATCCGTACGTTGCCGTTAATCTCTCCCAACTCTACGGCTCTCACTAGTTTTTGAGTTCACGCGATATCATCACTGATCTAAAACTGCGCTCCAAGCTACATATTGGAGCTTTCAATGTCCCCACCCTCCGTCATTAGAATACAAGCTTCACTTGTCCGAAACTATTATCTAGCAACATACACGTGTACTGTATCTGTGAGATACCCATACAGGACCCTAGTACTGTTAATCCCTTAAGATCACTCAGTCAGTGTAATAAGTCTGCCGATTTTACCTTGTGTTTCTGGGGATTCGATCACCAGTTCTCATGATTTTACAGGTGTAAGTATGCTACTGTGCTAAGGCGAAAAGTGCACTGGTTGCCTGGATCCGTTAACAGTTATCTGTTGTTTTAAGGCTCCAGTTTGCATAAAACATTGTTATTGATCTGAACATTCTAACTTGTCATTCTCACACCATTTTCATAGTATGACTAGTAGTTTATTTTCTACCCCCATTGTAATGTAATTCGCTGATTTGTTAATCCTTACTTTTACTATGTCAAAGTCTCAAATTGCGGATGTCATATTTCATGTGTATACATATTCACGTGATTTTGAATTGATATTGATATTCTCGGAAGAATAAACTCTCGCATCATCCAGCTTTGGTCTTCTGTCTATTCGTCCCGGGTTGCGATAGGTGGCTCTTGCGTACGAAGTTACCTGTCAGTTGAGCGTGCGTATTATATTCGTTCAGAATATTTAACATCTGTTTGCCGTACAGCTGAGCGGCACATTAACGACTAAAAAGAACGATGAAACCCTATTGTTTCTTTCCTAATCTCTGTTTACGCACCCACTGACCGCAGTTCACATGAAATTTACGGTGAGTTTCTGCAATCATCATCATCATCATTATCAACATAGGACCAGGCATTACTGCGTAACGGTCCGAGTTGCCACACCTCATATCAGCACATCAAGTAAAAAGGTAGTGAGGTGAAGGATGAAGATAAGTGAATGCAGTCAAAAGAAATATAAAGTATGAGAAGAAAGGAAAGAGGAGTGACAAAATAGTGAGATTCGGTATAGCGTTGTTAAGATGAGGATAATGTGTGTATACATCTGCGCCACTGACTTCGGTTCTGAGCCATATCACCTAGGGTCTCCAACCACTGGTTCCTCTTGTCCCGTGGACCCCAACCACCTAGTCTGCATCGTCCTACATGGCTTAAACCAACAGTCAGAGACTTCATACATTGGTGCCATGTTTTAGTCTGGCCACCTCGGGCCTTTTTCCAGCCTGAACCCACCTCAGCCAACATTGTGTGACGAGGCAATCGGTGACTAGGCATACGTAGTACGTGTCCCAACCATCTCAGTCGATGAAGGTTCACAACCTCGTCGACTGACTTACCTCTTCTCCCTAAAACTCTACACCTAACTTCTGCATTACTCACATGGTGACACCACGGAATACGTCCTATACTACGAAGGCAACGGTGGTCAAATACCTGTAACCTTCTCATGTCTTCCACTTTCAATGGCCATGTTTCACAGCCATACAGTAGAACAGAGCGGACTGCTGTGCAGTACACGCGACCCTTAATAGACAAACGAATATCACGGCGGCGCCATAGGTGGCGCAAATTGGCAAAAGCCAATCGAGCCTTTTGTATCCGTGCAGAAATCTCATCGGCAACTAACCCACCGGGTTGATCCTACTTCCCAGGTAAGTGAAGTGGTCAACACACTCAACCACTTCACTCTCTATTGTTAACCGCGGTACCGCTGAAGACCAGTCCTGGAGCAAAAATTTGCATTTGGGTGGTGAAAATCGCATCCCAAACATTCTCAAATTCCCACTCAAAGTGTTCAGAAGACTCTGCATCTTGTCAGCGTCTTCACCTAACAGGACTATGTCATCTGCATATTCTAGATCTAAGGAAAATTCACCTGTGATCCGGTCAACGTCTTTGTAATTAGGTGACGAGAGGGAAACCTCCATAAGAATATCTATGATAAAATTAAATAAGAATGGGGATAGTGGGCATCCTTGACGGACACCACTTGATGAG